AATATACTTCTTCAAAAAACCAACCAAACCAAAAACTTGGTTAGAAAAATCACTCTAACCTATATTTGACAATAACTAATGGTTCTTTTCCATATAATATGTACACAGACTATCCTAAGTTGACAGCTTTCTAGATCTCGCCTCTAGTACCGCATCAGTAACCTGCGGCTATAAAGAGAGGAAAAGTGACCACGCTGACATGTTTGATCATTTTTGTTTCTAACTATGAGGCTTCACTCTGCTCCTTCAAAATTGCCTCTTCATTTCCTCCTCTCTCCAGTCGAGACTGTCATCTTTGACAAATAGCTAGTGGCAGGAAAGAAGCCCAACTATAGAAAAGTATTCTAAGACTCTGAAGTTACATTAAAAACTAGTAACAACCATCATCAACTTCTAGCACCTAAAAAGATGGCATTAATCAGATAAAGTACATAAAGTTTACACTGTAGTGGGGTTGGTTTCGTTTCATGTTTTTTCATTTTTCTTCCTCAGCAGCACCTGTGTAGGTGAACACGATTTACTTTCTTTAGCCATGACAACATAAACAGTTTACCTGAACGGCATCTTCCGAGTTTCCGAGACATTTGTGTATGGCACCAAGAAGCAAATACTTTAACCCAACAACAGCAGAATCATCCACTTCATGGCAAGCTGAGAGAGAGGGGAGTGAAGACAGAGGGAAGGAGATTCACTCAATTCCTTACACAGCATGAAGAGTTCAGTGACCATCTCACTGTTTAGCTACTTATTTGGTTCATGTTTCTGTCCCCGAAACTCAAAAGGTGCCCATTCCTCATCCATGAGTGAACATCCTTCATCAAAGAAAGGCAAAAATATCAACTTCATAGAGCCAAGAAAACTCAAAATCACATTACATTATTACTAACTGAAAAAAGCCAATCTCATAGGGCTACGTACTGTCTGGTTCAAACTACGTGACATTCTGGAAAAGGCAAAACTATGAGGCAGTAAAAATATCTGTGGTTACCAGGGCTTAGGGGAGTGGGAGGGATGAATAAATGGAACGCAGTGGATTTTTAGGGCAATAAAAATACTCTGAAGCAATAATGGTGGACACATGTCAATACATTTGCCTAAACCCATAAAATGTACAACACCAAGAGTGAACCCTAAAGTACACTATGGACTTTGGGTGATAATGATGTGTCAATGTTGGTTCATTGACTGTAACAGACACACTAAATGTAACAATGTTGGTGGGGGGAGGCGAGCGGCCAGGAGGAGTATGTGAGGACCTCTGGACTTTCCCCTCAATTTTGCTGTGAACCTAAAAATGTTCAATTAATTTTTTAAGATCGCATCATATTAATTTAAAAAACTATGCAATGAGCACCCTCCCTTCCATGTTTGTATGAGGTGCTGCACTAGTCACTGAGAAGGGATCAGGACTGATTCCCCCAGCTGGCTGGAGGATGGACACACATATTGGAGGTGTTATGGAGGTTTTCCAAGGAAATGAGAAAGGTGGAAATGGGAAATATAGTGGAGCTACTGGAGGAGAAAAGGAAGTAATATAATTATTTCTATGGACCAATAAAAATGCTGAGATTCAACAAGATTCATTTTATATATACATATATAAAAATTTTGAGATTCATTGTATATATGTACACACATACATATATATATGTATACATGCATTGTGTGTGTGTGTGTGTGTGTGTATATATACATATATGATTTGCTCTAGTTACAGAACAAGTCACTGGAAGAGCTGGATAGAGTGACAAGGAGGTAAATGTGAAGAATAAAATCTGAACCTGCAGAAGCAGGAGTTGTCCCCAAAAGAGCCAGGCTGGGAATATCCCCACGCAAAAGAGAACTCAAAAGATCTTAAGGCAGCAATGTTAAGGAAATGTTAATATAATTCATTCATTTGTTCATTCATTCATTATACACATTCATTCAATATTTATTGAGCACCTACTATTTGCCAGGCATTTCTGAATACAACAGTGTTTAGAATACAACAGTGACAAAATGGACAAAAATTATTGCCCTTACAAAGGACTGGAATAGACATTTCTCCAAAGAAGACATGCAAATTGCCAATGGGTATATGATAAGATGCTCAACATCACTAATCATTAGAGAAATGAAAACCAAACACACGAGGAGGTATTACTTCATATCTATTAAGATGGTCATTATAAAACACACACACACACACACACACACACACACACACAACTTAGGTTTACAGAGGCAAGAAAAGGAAAAAAAAAAAAAAACCCAAAAAACAAAAAATAACAAATGTTGGTGAGGAGATGAAAAAACTGGAACCCTTCTGCACTGCTGGTGAGAATGTAAAATGGCCTAGCCACTAGGGAAAACAGTATGCAGATTCCTCAAAAAATTAAAAATAGAACTACCGTATAATCCAACAATGTCACTTCTGGGTATTTATCCAAAATAACTGAAATCAGGATATCAAAGAGATATTTGCACTGTCATGTTCACTGTGGCACTATCTGCAATAGCCAAGATGTGGAAACAACCTAAACATCCACTGACAGATGAATGATAAAGAAAATGTAGTATATATAAATATAATGGAATAGTATTCAGCCTTAAAAAAGAACAAAATCCTTGTCATACACAACAACATGGATGAGCCTGGAGGACACTATGCTACGTAAAACAATCCAGTCACAGAAGGACAAACACTAAATGATTCCACTTATATTGGTATCTAAAGTAGTCAAATTCACAGATAGAAAGTAGAGTGGTGGTCGCCAGGGCCTGGAGCGGGGAGGGGAAATGAGGATATGCTGCTCAGTGTGTATAAAGTTTCAGTTATACAAGATGAAAAAGTTCTAAAAATCTGCTATACAACATCATGCTTATAGTTAATAAAAAATAACTGTGGGGATTGTAAATGGGTGTAACATGCTTAGAGGGCAATGCAGTGAAATCTACAAAAATTTCTAAGTAGCACAAACCTTTTGACTCAGAATTCCACGTTAAGAATTTATCCTACAAGTAATGTGGGCACACAGATGCAAGGGGATCTGTGTAAGCACAGTCACTGGAGCACAGTATAGTCAATAGTAGCAAAAGACTGGAGACAACCTGAGTGTTTACTGAGGGGGACAGTTACATAAATCATTAATATTCATACTCTGGAATACTACACAACATTAAAGATGAGGTAGATCTATGTGCTGATATTAGATGATCTCAAAAAACCTTGTTAAATGAAAAAAGCACAGGGTAGAGAATGTTCTTATGTGCGTAATTACATGTGTGTACACACACACACACACACACACTCACACGTACCCAGATACACACTTATCTATATAAATTT